TTTTCCATGAATAATCAATAATGAGTTCGGAAAACTCACCTCCTGAACGTTGGACTCCTTGGTCAGGATCTCCTTGGCCTGTAGAGGAAACAGATTTAATGAGTGTCTTTGGGGTTTTTTTCTAAAGGACTCACAGCTCAGACAGTGGGGGGGGGGATCATGTGACGAGCTGACAGGAGGTGAAATCAAACTCAGCTCCGACATCCTCAGAGTCACACACACGACTGTTTTTGGTTTGTTTGTTTGTTCCTTCTTAAGATTTCAGGCCCACGTGACCTCAGAGGACACTGTACTGTTTGGAAACCTGCTCTCCTCAGCCCCACAGCTCTTTTAAATTAGTGAGAAAATAAAGTTGATCTTATTTTAGAGTTTTAACCATCAATCACTCAGCAGCTAAACTTCCCTCCTTCACATCAGAATTCACAGGATACACAGGCTACAGCTGGGACTGCCTCATTTTTGACCAGCTAAACACGTCACACACATGTGACATTTAAGCTGTCATTTTTTTAAATTCTCTTACTGATAAAGTAGCTGGAAACAGCTAACCGGGCAAAATGCTAAATATCTTTTTTATGCTGTACCAACAGTGTCCTCCGACCAGAACCCTTCAGAACAGCAGGTTATAGTTCCCTCTATTCGAAATAACGCCATCTTTGTTAGTCAAAATGTCAGAACTATCCAAACCTTACACAGCCCTTTGTTAAGCACAGTAAACTCATCAACACTGAGTCATCAGCTACACATGGACTCGCTGTGTGAGGCTCATTTAGAGCAGGAAAAACTTGCTGCAATGAATCATGCAACAGCTTAAATACGTGGAAATATAAAATCAATAACCTTTAAAAATGTACCCACCTAAGGAAAAAGTCCATAAACATGTTGCTGGTTTTTATTCAAATTTACTGCAAACAGCAATGTGTAGGAAGAGCAAAAGAAAGACTTATCAGTACTTTTTACATCACTTCAGCTCCACTCATAGCTGAAAGATAACAGCATGTACCTACAACAGGCCAAACCTCATTCATCTCATGAATGTTACTGTTATTAACTGTAATAAGAACCTAATTGATTAGTTCATATGAAGTCAGCTGGCAGAACCTGGCTGCGCTCAAACCTCCTCACCCACCTGACCAATACCACCTGCATACTTTAATTTCCCCTCAGATTACTGCAATAATCTCCTGATGGAGATCAATCAGATATGAGCCAGTCTGTGTTCATCATACCTCCATTATATTCTTCTGTCCTTCAAATTTCACGCCATGTTTATCCAGTTTTTACTTTGAGACTTTCATCTTTTTATTATACTGAAAATCTAAGAAGACAAAACGGGGACACCAGAAGCTGTACTATAAGTCTCTTTATTTATTTATTTATTTTTTAACATCTAAACCATCTCTGACTCTGCTGATTAGCTAGAAATAAATAAATGACTGATTAGTACAGACGGTTTCAGCCCTCATTTAGATGTTAAATAGCACCAACAATGGATTCCTCTTCATGCAGAGAGCATAATAAATCAGGTTACAGACATTTTACGCTCTGCTGTCTCGGACGTGGATTTTCAGTTTGATGGGTATTTTCTCTGAACATCGCTGCTCATTTAGTCAACGCACACTTCTAAAAGTACGCAACGAAGAATATTTCGGGTTTAATCGCTTCGACAGAGGACGAGAGCCGCCACACGGCTGAACAAACGGCTCATCTTTAATGGTGCAACCAACCTGCCGTTTATGCAATCAAATGGTTGATCAATACATTAAGGGCGCGGTACTAATCGATCAATCGCGACACACATTAACAGATGATTCGCTTTAAGAGAGAAATAAGAATAAAGCCCTCTACAGTGAATGGCTGAATCAGGCTGAATCCCGGCCTGTGCGCAAAAGACAGCGCAGGTAATAACCGGGCAGTAAAATGGGCTGCGTCTATTTCTTGGCACTGGGCTAGAGATGCGATTTTTCGGCCCGTGTGTAATGAGTCGACGATAGTCGGACAACAGTTCACAGTGGGGATTATTTAATAGAAATACACACATATATATATCACACCTGAAAGGGAATTCTGACTCAGAATGCGTAGGAAATTGGGCGCAAACAGCCGCCTCGTCGCTCCTTCATTCCGGAAATTAGCCGGAGCCACTTTCGCAACACAGGCCGCGCTGGGCTGAGCCAGGCCTGCCGGGAAATCATGTCAAAAACTTTGGAACTTACCTTCTCACAGAGCGTCCGGACTTG